CTTGACAACCAGCTTGTTCTCTATGCGTCTGTTTCTGTTTTGTTTCGCTTGTTCATTTGCGTTTTGTGTGTGTGTGTGTTTTTGCTTGTTTTTTTGATGCTGCATATAAGTGAAATCATACAATATTTGTCTTTCTTGGTCTGATGTAGTTCCCTGAACACAGACCAGCTCATTCTAATGTGACATTAACGGCCGTGGGAACCTCGAGGATTTACCACACTTGATCCCCACCTAACCACTTTTAGATTTCGTGGTCTCCTACCCACCACTCACTAGTATTTGTCCGTGGTTCTGGGACGCTGTCTTACTTTTAAAAAGGATGTCCTGTTTGGTTACTGTTGGCAGCAAGGCATAACGGAAAGGGCACAGGCTCTGGAGTAAGAAAAGGGTCTGGGCTTGTACATCAGTTCTGCCACTGAACGCCTCTGGACCTCGGTGCTTCCCTCTGTGAAGTAGGTACTTTATATCTAATGCCCTTGAGTCTTACAAATTTATAAGAAACAGTAGGAAAACACCCAGCCCCGGCGCATGGCCCTCAGAGCATGGCGTCATCCTGGCAGTTGCTGCAGGGAGACCTGAGTGGAGGAGGTTCTAATAGGACAGGGAATTATTTTTAAAGGGACACATTCAGTTGCTTACATTATTTTGAGAACATGATTAGTAAATTTACTTAGACCCTCATTTCCAAATCAAAATGTCCTACTGTGGCATTTATTTTTTGAAAAAAAAAATCCCTTTTAAAATACCTTTTATGGAAATATTTACCCAGCATATTCACCAAAGCCATAGGATTTAAAAGATAAAACCGATCTGGAGTTTGCACAATGCAGACTCCTTTTGGAAATTCTTAATAAAATGCAGATGTGCATAGAAGGGGCCAAGTTTTCAACAGCTGCCAAAATCTAGACCTCTCAGGTCGACTTGCAAGCTCACCCTGAGCTCAGAGGCGCCCATAGGCCACTGCGTGCCTGCTGGACTCGCCCTCTGTTGCCATTGTAACCACTTGGCCTTATTTCCAGGGTATTATCACCCAATTAACATAATCTTCTGATAAGAAGCACTAATAGTCTTCATTAGAAGACAGAACCCATGTCAATGGTTTAATCGGCCATGAACCTGACCTGCTGAGGATGTGAGAAGTGCTCGCTTCTCTTCTGCAAAAGATACCTTTCAGAGATGAAATGGAAAAGGGTTTAAGCTTCCTTTACAGGACTGAATGGGGATGGGTTTACAAACTTGGAATTTTTACAGACTGTGGGCTGGAGCTGACTGCTTGATGACTAAGCTTTTTCCTTACATGAGCACTTGCAAAAACAAAAAGAGTATTTGCCTCTGAAGCTGAAATTCCTCCCTAAGCCTCGCTCAACAAAGAGAATAAAAATAAAGCACAATGTTTAAAAAGGCAGACCAAAGTACATTGCGTCGCTACACACAGAGAAAGGGACCTCATCTACACGATACATTCTTCAGCATGAAAAGCCATTAAAATGCCAAAAATGAGCTCTCACTCACAAAATGTTTCTATTAGTTTATAGATATTTGTCAAAATCCATTATACACTAACCTCAAAGAAAAATTCAAAATTAGGAGTAACCGTATTTCCTGAAACCAGTAAATTAAAAAAAGGTTCCTGCTTCTGGCATTAGTTCAGATGGTTTCTGACAAATCATAAAAGTACGTTTCACCCACCCGACCTGAGAAAATGCTGCTGACAGACTCAGCAATGCGCTCACACTAGCTTTCAGGGTGTGCGGGAGACACACAGCGCTGCCTGCGGAAATTCGGACCAGCCCCCCAATTCCATGAGCTGGTGGACACAGGCCCTCGGCCCGGCTGGGAGTCCCCGGAGTAACTCCCTCCCGGACAGGAACTGCCACAGCCTGAGCGGCGCCACCGTGACCCGGGCCTCGGCCCTCGAGGGCCCTGGCTCGGGTGCGTGGTCGGGTCTCTGCTCATCTCTGGGGAAGAGAGGGACCCAGTGGGCTCGGGGCCCTGTACCTTTCGCTGTTCTTTTTGCCGCTCGAAGAGCTGCTGGTGGACCCCGTGCGGTTCCGGTTGCCTTTGGAGTCCCCGTAGCTTTCCCTTCGGCCGCCAGGGGACACGCGTTCCGAAGAGCTGGTCCTCTTGATGGTGCTGAGGTGAGATGCAGAGGACAGTGAGAGCCTTACCGGGGGGCCTTCCTTATGGCCGAGTATAAATATATACGCCCAGAACACCCCACTTCCCCGTGGATGCTTGAAGGACGGGTCGCGTCTCAAGTCCTGACTATGGAGATCAAAAACCATTTTTCCGAATGTGACTTGGACCCTGCCTCTGCTCACTGTTTTGTGACCTTGGCAACCAGTAGTGTTCAAAGGCACAGAGGACACTGGAAGAAAGAAGCCCACAGCACGGGTGAGAGAACCCCAGGGCGTAACGGGAGGCCACCTGTCCCTGGGCAGCTTCAGATTAGCCCCGGGTGCTCAACTCGACTGGCTATGCCCCGCAGACACTGGGCACTGGGCAATGTCCGAGACATTTTTGGTTGTCAGGGCTGGGGGGGGGGGGGGGGCATCTATTAGACAGAGGCCTGGGATGCCGCTCAGCACCCGACCGTGCCCAGGACAGCCCCCAACAAAGGCGGTGCCAGCCCCCAACGTCAATGGTGCGGACACTGAAGAAGTCTGGTCGGAAGGCACACGTGGGACCAACACGAACAGGATGCCACGGGCCGTGACGGAACAGCCCAGCTGTGTCACGCCTGTGCTTAGAGGAGGTGCCCATGGAAGCACTGACTTCCCTCTGGAACACTGAGGACTAGGGCGGAGGCGGGATGGTTAGATGTTAGTAGAATTTTTGACAAGAAAAGGGAAACTGAGCTAGATGGTTAGACAGATGGGGCCAAACAATTGGAGCAATTTACAGGCAGCTAGTAAACCGCGAGATCTTATCTTCCTCACCAAGGGCACGAGAGCAAATGGTTACACTTCTCTTTTCTAACCGGATAAGCAAAGAGCTTAAACCACCTGGTCAGGGAGGTAGATACCAGAGACCCGACTAGTGCCCTCTGTGCCAGCCAAACCCAGGGACGGATAAGTCAGGGGGATAAATAACAACAAACCCAATTAGGACCAAGCAAATCCACATAGAGGGAGAACAGGCCAGAAAATGGCTGGTCCCTCTTTGCGTCATTCACTTCGGCACGTCAGCATCTTAAAGAGCACACCTGGGAAGCCGAGGAACATTCTACCGAGACCCTCCATGGACCCCCCCTCGGATCCCCACCTTCGGAAAGTAGGTAACCGACTCCGCGCAGGCTCTCTCTGGAGCATGCCCACGCCCCCCCCCCTTCTCTCTCCTAAACTCTCAGGGCCCCACAAGATTTGCACCCAGGGGAGCAGTGGGCAGCGGCAGCTCGTCCCAAGCTAACCCCTGAACCTGTCCCCAAGGCCCCCTTTTTCTCTGACTCTCAGTGAGCCGGCAGCAGCCCATGTGGCTCACTTCTCTCCCAAGACGTTTCTAGAGCCCGAGCAGCCTGCCTCCTCTCTTTCCTGTTGCTGCGTCTCTCCTAGGCCCTTCCTGTTTCACTGTTGCTCCCAGATTTAATAAACGTCCTCTCAAAATCACCTGGACTCGTGTGAATCTTTCCTGTCCAAAGTCAAGAAGCCACATGCTACCGGCCAAGGCAGACCACGTGGGGCAGGAAGAAGCCACATACTGGCCAAGGCAGACCACGTGGGGCAGGACCCTTTCCGGGGACAGAGTGGTTGGGAACTGGGGGGAATGTCTGGGGAAGAAGCCTGAAGACTGCCTTTCTGGGAGCGATAAAGGGCTTTAATGAGCTGAAATGACACAGTGGGGAAGAGCCGTAACCCACAGGCACGCCCCAGACTCAGGAAACTCCCAGGTGGGGGCAACCCAGGGCCGGGCAGGGGCGCACGCTGACTGCTCTGCTCTTGGGTCATGTGACTGTATCACAGGTCCCTGCGGAGTTTTGAAATCACCACCGGCCATACATGTCTTGAGATCTGATCTCACGTATCATGCTTGTATACGTTTTGGCACTGGGGCTTGATAAATATTCATTAGGAAAGGGTGAAATAGTGACTAACACAGGGCGCCTCGTGCTTTGACCCTGTCACAGGAAGAGACACGAGCGCTTCAGTTGAGCACCTGCTCTAGAAGCACGAGGGGCGGAGAGGCTGGTGGGCAG